TGATCTTGAGAGCAGGACTTCCACAGGGCTGCCCACAGGACAACTCAAGGGGGTTCCCAGCCACTTCGATAATGAACTATGTATTTGGACATATCTCCAGAATTGATTACGCTGCAACTTATATAACTCTACAATTTTATCAAAGCTTAAAAAACATTTAGTCCCACAGCCAAATAAATCTGATACATTAAGGATGCCTGCTTTACGCCACTGTAACCAGTCAATCGATGTCCCTCCAATTAAAATTCTTTTATTACTCCATAAGGTTGCCGAAGGTGATTTAAGATCCCCATTAGCTACAGGAATACAGCAGGTAGTCCACCTGGGATCCACAGATTTACTCTCTGAGAGTACACCGCTTACAGAGACATAACCTTTCCTTTAGTGCGTAAGGATTTAAATAATTAAATAAAGCTAATTTTTTTCGTGATTTTTATATACACATTGCAGTTGTGCTCATTAAAAGCTGGCACTCTTTGTAATAAAGGTCAAATGCATCAATACAGTGCTATGGTTGAATTAAATTATTGAGACTGACATGTTGACAAACATACTTGCATATCATAACTAGTTAAAGTCAGGGGTGTCATGGTCTTGGTGTGTGGCTCTAAAATTCCGCTGAAGGTTTGGACCTCCCTGGTATCCACCCATGGGCAGGGCCTACAGCCTCCCTCACCTGAAGCTGATTGAGGCAATCAGGTTGGAGATTTAAGCTGCTTGCTGACACCGCTTCCTCGCCAGTTCGTCAATTACCCTATGTTGGTAACCAGGCCTCACGCGTCATGTATATGAATCTCAAGTGCTCTACTAACCTTGCAATCTTGTGTTCTAGTTACTCCTGGAAATTCCATCACACTGAACCACTCATCTTGGAAATCTGGTTTCAGAATCATCATCATTGCCTCACCTGCCTGCCCTCCTGCCCTCCTGCCCTTACACCACCTCAGGACCTTCACCGCTCAGGACAGCTGCCACACACTACCAAACCCACCTGGACCGCACCACCTCTCCCTCAACGCTTCCATCTCCCACCTGCACAATAAGACGAAGAATTTCATAGCTTCCACCCTCTCCAGAAATCCTCATTGACTACCGCTCTAACACTGCTCTCCTCTGTTCCAGTACGTACCTAATCACCAGCCAGCTGTCGTTGCTTTCTTGGACCTGTCCCCTTGCTTATCCCTCTCCCCTGGCCAAGACCCTCACGCCCCATGTGTCAAGTACTATTGTAAACGTCATTTTTGTGCTAGTTAATAAACCTTTGTTAAACCCTTTCCTCAGCCTCCGCTTTGAGTTTTCTGCACGTGGGTTTGATTTTTGGTACTCGGCCTCCGGCCGTTTTGTGACAAGGGAGATATTTTTCTGGGCCAAGGGAGTCTGAAAAGAATGTCCCAGACTGAGATAATAAGTAGGAAAAAACAGGCTGCAAATTGCTAGCTAATATTTAATACAGCAAGGTTAGCGGGCAAGGTGTTTTTCCCTTCTTTTTTTTTTTTTTTTTTTTTCATGAAAAGGAGCAGATAAGAGACGAGGTCAGGTGTGAATGAAGTGTGGGAGAAGATCCGGTCAGGGACGGCAGGATTGGCTGCGTCGTTTCCCAAAGAAGATCAGTCATAATTGTTTTTGTGCGGTAGAAAAATGTAATGCCCACTTACAGGGTCATCCTTTTTGTTAAGCACATTGTTGGTTCACATTGAGGTCCAGCATGCTGAAAATTCTAATTTCAACTGCTGAAATCAATTAAATCTTTTAAAAGATAGTCACTCTCGTGTACTTAAGGGGGGAAAAAAACAAAAACACGTAGCTAGTATGAAACACTTTTCTGCACTCACCTTTGGTTGCTGTTTTAAGAAATTCATTGCTTCTTCAAAGTGGTCCAGATGTGTCTCTGTGATATTGTCACCCTTCTTATTGTACACCGCCATTGAGAGAATCATGAAACCTTTAATGGCCAATAGACTGGGTCTTGCCTCAGATATGAAGGTGGGAATATCAAACAAAGCAGGAAAAGGACCTTTTTCTGGAAGAAAGGAAAAAAGGTTCTCCTCAGCAGCAAAGGTTTCCTTTCTGAGATGAAGGAAACAATGCTGATTTATAAGCTAGTTAACGTTAAACTAAAATGAAGATAGAAAGCTAGGAACCACCTCCAGTACCTGGAGGAGTGAACAAGACTCAACGGATGTTCCCTTCATTGACGGAGATCCTGGTGACCCCATCTCTCATCAGAAGCCTCTCATTTGTCATCTCTGCCAGTAATCTGCCCTCCTCCTCATGCACAAAAAACTTCACCACCTGGGGGTTTATGGCATTTGTCTTTAGATATATTTTGTGCATGGTATGCGGCCTCATGGAACACAGCAGACCCATGGGTTCTACTCCAACGTAGCTCCCACCTAGGGAGGGGTCTCTTTTCAGGTCGACCTCCCCATTGCCGTCAGCCCTGTAGGTGGCTGAGGAGCTGTCATCCCTTGTCATCAGTTAACCTCCTAGGACCTGGTGTCCACATATGTGGACATCCCATTTTGGATTATTTAGACTAAAATACTAAATTTTGCTCTACAAGGGCCTGATATCCACTGATGAGGACATTATACTGCTACTGTTCCATCAAAATTTTAAACGAATATCCTTATACGTGGCTCTGATTTTTCATAAAAACAAAAATAAGGTAAAAATCTGGTAATTCTTTGTTTTTACATTCATTGGGCCCCAATATGCCCAAATAGCAAAGAGAAATTAAAAATGCATGCTGTGGAAGAGTTCGGGTCTTATGAGGTTAAGGTTCACACTCCCTTGCTACCTCCCAGAGTCCTCAAAGAGACAAAAGTTTCTTCCTGTGGAGCTGTCTGCTTCCCCCAACTTCCTTACTAGACCCCCACCATTTGTCTTATAGTATGAGTGTGAAACATGTTAAAATCCAGTGGCACCAAGGCATTATACAATAAAATAATGTGATTAATACATAAGTAAAAGAAATTCCTATACACTGTCAACTGTGATTGGTGTGTGCGAGTGTATTATGCTCAAGGAGCTTTTAACTACACAAATGAGCAGATTTGTGAAGTTTAGCTTCAAAATGTGTTTTTATATGTTCATTATGATTTTGAAATATGCACTTGTAAATAGCTTTCTGTATGTTTACATTTCTGTGTGTTTGTGTGGAGCAGGGATTTGTGAGCACTCAAAATTCACACAGTGCACACATTTGTAAAATCTTTTTTTTAGATGATTTTGAGATGTATTATTTCCATAAAATATGCAACAGCCCAAAGAGAGTTTTACATGCATGTTTTTTTCTTAAAACCAAAACTCACTGAAGAAAATGAGTCACTAGTCCGTGCTGTTTCTTGATGTACCCGTGATCTTGTAGACTTATGACGGACTTGAGTCGCAGACCAAATATGGTTCAATACAAAATATGCTCAAAGCAAGTGAATACCTTATTTCTAGTGGCGACTTGTGTGGACTTAGTACCTTACTTACTACCTTAAAATACGAGTAAACCATTAAACAGGAGTAGCTACATTGTCTCACCTTGTTTTGTTTTTTCTTCTCACATAATAACAAACTGCTTCCACCTAACGTTAAGAAATTAATCTGTGGGTTGGACCATATCAATAAAGCCATTTTTAGTTTCCCATTTACACATTATATATATTTGAATATTTTTAATATGTTATGTTTCATGGGTCATCTTTTTAATTTGCTGGTCTCTCAGAAAGGAAACTGTGTAAATTAAACTTTAAACTGAAGTCTATTTGTCAGCTCATTATTCTTTGTTGCGTTTTTTTTAGGCTTTAATAGTTTTAACACAATTGTTTTTTGTTGTTGTTTTTAATTACAACATAAAGATCAATTTACAAAAGATAAGTACAGTAATGTGGGATCAAATAACAAAATCAGCGTTACGCAAAAATTTAAAACATGTATCTACACTCATCATATAACGTTTTTGGCACTGTGATGATGGAACAAATAGCCAAAACAAATAAAAAGTAATTTCAATGAAACATTAAGAAAGGCCGACTGGAAATAAACCATAGCTGACTGTAGAGTCCAGGATAAGCAGACAGAAGATCAAGTGACAATCCCAAAAAATTATAAAGAAAAATGAAAAAAGAAACATGTGTACAGGGCTCAGGAGATACAGGAGGGGAAGACATGTGCGAATCATAATTTCACCTAAAATTTCAAACTGTCATATTAACAACTATTATATTAATTATAAAATGTGATTTTCATACAGTCAATTTGCTGTCATGATTTATGTTTCTGTAACTTAAGCTTTCTAATCATCCTGTTTGAATCTATAACTTGGCTTTAGTCTGTGCTGCATCACAACTCAGGTGAGTTTTGAAGAAATCCTGGATCTTCTTCCAAAGGTGGATCTCAGCTGCTATGTGGGCCTTGGGCTCACCTCCCCACAGCACTCGCTTGCCTACACCTGCATTGAAGCTGGAGGGGCAGTGGGGCGCATAAGGTGGCTCCAACATGTGTCCAGCTCCAGGGTAAAAAACAGTCTCAAAGTTCTCCTTCCCATGATGCTTAAGTCTCACCACCATTTCATCCATGTAGGCTTCGCTGTCCCAGTTGAGGTCGTCTCCTACAACCGCAAAAAGAAAATGGCTCTTGGCTCGTTCAATGGGGATCAAGCTGCCCTTATTCTTTTCTGCCAGGGGATCTTCAAGAGCATCCTTTATGATGATTGCACCTGACTCGGTGGGAATAAACTTGCTTTCGTCAAACAGTATTGATGACAGGATCTGCCGTTTCTTGTAGTAGAGAGGCGTGACCACATTGGCGTTACAGGCATTCATGCACACTATGGCCTCGACACCTGGCACAAAAGCAGCGAGTGCCAGTCCGATATTTGATCCCTTGCATCTTGACATTATGCCAACTCCTTTACTGCCCACCTGTGAAATAACACAGAAATTAAAAGGCGATGCAAATCTATAAAACATTTGGAGCGCAGGGCTGACTCTACCTGTCATTATTTTCATTTTTGTGGACTACATATGTATATTACCATTACTAAATAAATAAACACATTCATATATGCACAGTGAAGCTATCATGATCCGGGTGAGTGGCTGGAAACTTCTACCAGGGTCTTGAGTCTCCTTGGTATCTGGCCCTGGGCAGGGCCGTCATATCTCCAACAGCTTCACTCACCTGGAGCTGAGTTGAGGCAATCAGGCTAAAGAGATTTAAGCCTTACACTGATATTCCCTCTCCAACAGTTTGTCAACTACTCCATGTTGGTAGCTGGCTCTAATGCTCCATGTTATTTGCCAAGTGCTTTTCTTACCTTGTTCTCTTGTGCCCTAGCTTTTCCTGGAACCTCCAAAACCCTTACCCCCAAATTAAGCTAATCTCTTGAACCTCGGATAACCCAGCTCTTCTCTGGAAATCTCTCCTTGCCTCACCTGCCTGCCCTCCTGCCATCACACTCCTTCGGAACCTACGGAACTCAGGTCAGCCATCTCACACCGTCTAACTCACGCCCCCTCTCCCTCCAAGCATCTTTCACTCCACCTGCAAGTAAGCAAGAAATATAGCCATGCTCACCTTTTCTAGTACTCCCCTTTTACCACAGTTCTAACTCCACGCTCCTCAGTGTGATGGCTCTATGTACCAAGCCATGCTACAGTTACCCCTTCAAGCCCAATTTCCCCCACTTGGCCCCATGACCACGTTATCACGCTACGCAGAGCTGCTGTTACATTCTACAGTCTATTCCTCTTTTGGCAAATCTCTCAAGCTCCTCCAGATTTTATTGGCTTCTAGCATGGACCTTGGTTCACTTCACACTGCAAATTTTTGTTTGTTCTCGTTATTGTCCTTTTTGAGACTACAATTCTAGATTCTAGTGTCTTGGCAGTAGTACTGGGGTCTTTAGACACATCTATCACTAGTTTTCTTTCTAGAGTGTTTGAAATCTTTTGCTTCCTACCCTGCCAAGCTTGTTCTGTACTGTGTGACTGTCTTGGCTGAATTTCTTAACATTGCATATTGAAACTTGGAAATGCTGTGATAACTTTGTATATCTATTTCTTGCTTAGAGATCTTCAACATTTCTTATTCTATAAAATTATAAAAGGATTTCTTCTGTTTTTGGGGTGATGCGTTCTCAAGTGACAGCTCAAACATTGCACAGCAGTGGCTTCTACTATCAATAAAAAGGTCAATTTTTCAGGGGGCTGATAATGTTGATCTTGAAAATTATTATATGTTAGAAATTATTATGTTATTGTGTGATAATAGAAACAATTCATGTTTTCTCAAGAAGATTTGTGCGATTACAAAAATATGTCGTAAAGCTGAGGCTTTATGCTCTCTGAAATTTATTCAATTATCTGAATGAATGTAAATGAGAGTATTTCTGAAACTCCACTTAAGCTACAGGAATACAGCAGATATTCCACCTGGGATCTACAAATTTACTCTCCTCTCTGAGAATGCACAGCGTATAGAAACATAAACTTTCCTTCAGTATGAAACATCTTTCTGCTGTCTGTGCGCACTAGAGCAACTCACCTTTGGTTGCTGTTTTAAGAAATTCATTGCTTCTTCAAAGTGGTCCAGATGTGTCTCTGTGATATTGTCACCCTTCTTATTGTACACCGCCACTGAGAGAACCACAAAGCCTTTGTTAGCCAGTAGACTGGGTCTTGCCTCAGATACTGAGGTGGGCAAATCCAACACAGCAGGAAAAGGACCTTTTCCTGGAAGAAAGAAAAAAGATTCTAATCAGCAGCAAGTCATATTTTAAATTTTATTCTTAATTTCTCTGGAAGCCAGTGAAGGGACGCAAGAATAGGTGTAATATGTGACAGTCAGCTATTTTTTGTTAGCAGTCTTTCAAACAAAGGTCTTGCTGCATTCTGTACTAACTGGACATGAGTTGTGGAGGACTGAGAAACGCACCTGAAATGTGAACTACAGTAAGCAAGGTGGGAGAAAATTACAATTTGAACTAGAAGTTTCAGATGACTGAATGACAGTTAAAGTTTAATTTCAACAATGTTGATTTAAAAGCTGGTTAATGTTAAATGAACTAAAATGAACATAGAAACCTAGGAACCACCTCCAGTACCTGGAGGAGTGAAAAGGACTCCACGGATGTTCCCTTCATTGACGGGAACCCTGGTGACCCCATCTCTCATCAGAAGCCTCTCATTCATCATCTCTGCCAGTAATCTGCCCTCCTCCTCATGCACAGAAAACTTCACCACCTGGGGGTTTATGGCATTTGTCTTTAGATATATTTTGTGCATGGTATGTGGCCTCATGGAACACAGCAGACCCATGGGTTCTACTCCAACGTAGCTCCCACCTAGTGAGGGGTCTCTTTTCAGGTCGACCTCCCCACTGCCATCAGCCCTGTAGGTGGCCGAGGAGCTGAACACCACTCCCTTGTCATCAGTTAATTTGGCTCTCATGTTGACAACCTGCCTTGGCCTCAGCCCGGCCACCTTCACCTGAATGGGCTCATCAAACATACATTTGATGCTTGGCAGCAGCTTCAGTCTCACTTGAGAGGACATCTTTTCTGAAAAAGAGAAAAAGATTGGACTTTATGAATGTAAGATAAAAAGTCCCCTTACACAATACTTTTTCTAAGAAATTTCAGAGACAGATCGATCCATATTACATTACATTGTGTTTATTAATTACACCAACAACCCACTGTCCCAGTTTGGTCTCTGAGTGCAGGAAACCCAAATCCAAACTCCACTCAAGAAATGTGCCAGTTTAAATATGTATCATTAGCAAGCAACCACATTACAAGTGCCCACTGTACTCTCTGTCAATAATGTTAATACTAGATCCATTTCAGACAGTGGCAGTAATATTTTACACTGGGCAGCAAATCAGCACAGCAGGATCTTCCAGAGCGAGACAGAAACTCTGACTATTTTTTGTTAATATTTAACAGCTCTTGCACAGCCACTGTTAGTGTGATACCTTTGCACCAGATACCCTCCCATGCACCCATCAGTAAAGACTTCTTTCTAGTTAAGTAAATGGTTTGCATGGATTTCCATTAAAGGTTTTTTTTTATGTTCAGTACAATTATTCAGTCACTCGTTGAACTTCAGGCAGTTTTGATTCCCGTTTTCATGATCACACAGCCACTTCAAAAGGTAAACACCAACTTCAAAGTGATATTTCTCTTCCATTGTTTACAATTAAACTTTTAAAAACAAAAAATTTGAATAGATGTTGATTAGGACAAAAGGTCCCAAATCCATGCCATCAATGCACAGTCACAATTAATTAAAAGTTAATAAGACTTGCAAGGTGGTAACACAAGCTGACTGGAAATAACAGAGGCACAAAGAGTCCAGGATAATCAGGAAAAAGTGATCCAGTGATACAGTCCTGCCTGGCAGGATGATGTGTTCACAGAATTTGATATATATTCTGTCATGCAATCAGTTAAACCAGGGATAGGCAACTCCAGGCCTCGAGTGCCAGTGTCCTGCAGGGTTTAGATCTCACCCTGGGTCTCGCACCTGAATCAAATGATTAGTTCATTACCAGTCTTCTGGAGAATGTCAAGACACGTTTAGGAGATAATTTAGCAATTTGAATGAGCTAAAACCTGCAGGACACCGGCACTTGAGGCCTGTAGTTGCCTACCCCTGGGTTAAACTGTTATTGATTTCTCAATGTTGTTCACAAATTACATTCTCTATACCCTCAAAGCAGTCCTGCAGCTTTGAGGGTATTCACAAGACCGCCTTGTGAATATGGGTCTTTTAACAAGAGGAATATATCTCCACGTTGGGTGAGTGTTGAGTAATTACATATGAGAGCATGAGGGTGGGAATGGATGTTTGTATCTGGTCGGGTATCAGACGCCACCTCTCTGGAGGCATCTCGGGCCCTCCAAGGTATGGAGGCCTATCTCCCCCTACCACCACTTCCCCTGCCAGTGGCGGACCCCCTCAGACATCGGTGCGTTGGTGGTTCTTTGTGTCCGGGGATGGGCGCCCAGGTACACACCGACTCACTCCTTGGTGGCTGCTTGTCGGGGCCTGGAGCCTGGGGCTCGCTCGGACCACTTCGGGGGTGGGGTGCCCTCAGCCTCTCGGCCTGGGGCTCGGTCACTCAGGCACAGCTGTCTGCCAGCGGAGCTCACGGGCGCGTCACTGCAACCCCCCCTGGCTTCTGCTCCGCGGCTGCTGAGTGACCCCTCATCTGGGACTCTCGTCAGCTCTTTCTGGGATAGTGGCGCGGCTGCCCCTCTGTTGGTCTTCCTTGGTCTCTTGTGTTCTGGGGGCCTCTGGATGTTTGGAGTTTTGATCTCCTCCATACCTGCTTCATGCCCTGGTGGATGGGGCTGTGGCTCCCCACACCCTCTAGCACAGCGGTCCCCAATCCCCGGACCGGTACCGGTCCGTGAGTCGTTTGGTACCAGGCCGCGAGAGTTGAGGCTCAGGTGTGAAATGTATGGTTTTCAGGGTTTTTATCGTTTTTCAGCGTTATTTTGTTATCGTTTTTATCGTTAACTCTGTTTTCCTGGGTCTTTTCACGTGTGTTATGAATAAATCTTCTTTTTTTCGCTACCGGTACTAGTTTTATTATGTTGTATTTATCCGCAACACCTTAAAGGTCCGTGAAAATGTTTTTGGGCATAAACCGGTTCGTGGGGCAAAAAAGGTTGGGGACCGCTGCTCTAGCAGATCATTACATGAAGGAACCTTTTAAAAACAAGCGCGTTCATGCTTACAGGTGTACACACGGGTGCTCACACACACAAACTACACCCTTTTTGGCTCCTACCTCAAAGCACACTGTGCGCTGTCGATCTTACGTGCTGCACAATAATGTTTAATATTTAGTATTTACCGTTATATTCCCATAGATCATCATGATGTTGTTTATTCTATTGCTCTCGTTTTCTTCTGCTTGTTTTCTTTTTTCATTCCCAACAGGTGAAATTTAAAAAAAGTATCTACTGTTATCTATTGTTAGCTAGTTTATTGTGAGGGTGTTGTTTTTATTATGTTGCTCTTTGTTTTTTTTTCTTCCCCCCTTTCTCACCATCTCTTCTCCCCTCTATTTTTCTTTCTTTCTCACCCTCTCTTTCTTTCACCCTGTCCTATCCCCCAGTCATGTCTGTCCCATCTTTAAAAAATGAAAATAAAATAAATACATAATTATAATAAAGGTCAGTTAAATGGACCAATATGGCAAAGCCACGATGATCCACTTGGTAAAGTAAATCCACTTGGCATCTTTCTTGGCCTTCAGACAACAATTCTGATGGCTAAAAATCCAAACGGGACAGGCAAAAAAAAAAAAAAAAAAAAAAAATTATATATACAGTCATATATTTATAGTGGCTAACCTGTTAGAACTGCATGTCTTTAAAAGTGAAAGAAAAAAAATGAAACAAACGAAAAAAACAAACACAGAAGCTCAGAAAAACAATAGAACTAGAGCTAAAAAAATTTAATTAACACAACTGAATTAAAGGCTTGAGCAATGTGTGACATGGTTGACTGTAAATAAATATATATTTTTATAAAAAGACTACACACACACACACACATAAAATAAAATAAAATATGCGCTCAATGCTCAGTGACATTTTTAACAAGAGAAATGGTCGATTTGTGATGTTCAAATAAATTATCACTGTACTGTAACATGTACAGTACTTGCAAAATAGTTTTCCATATGTTTACATTGCTGTGTATCTATGTGGACTGGAGCACGGATTTGTGAGCACTCAAAATTAACTCAGTCCGCACATTTGTATATCGTAGATCATTTTCAACCTTTCGAGACAAATGTATCTCCATATATGTGCAACAGCCGAGAGTTTTACAAGGATGTTTTTTTTTTCTTAAAACCAAAACTCACCGAAGCGAATGAGTCTGGTGGTTGGTTTTGTTTCTCGAAGTACCCGTGATCACGCGGACTTAAGACAGACTTGAGTCGCAGCCCAAATATGTTTTAAATTCAAAATACGCTCAAAGTAAGCGAATATCTTCTTGCTTCTGGTGACGACTTGTTTGGACTTCGCCTTAGCCAAGTATCCCAGAATGCATTTCAAACGAAATTCAGAACTGGAAGTAAAGTTCTGAAAAAGCACTGTTTCAGGTGCATAAAATAGTGCGACGATTTCGGCGAGAATGTAGCAACATTAAATATCCGGCCAAATTATCAAAATATTACCTATTTGCAAAAGTTAAGCACAAGATATATAATTTTTTAGGATATATTATATATATATAATGGGTGACGTTCGCTTTTCTGCAGTGGTTTATTCTTGAGAAAATCGGTTTTGCAGAGTTTAAAGTCAGCCTGCAAAAAGTGTCTGATTTTATTTCACTTTAATGTGTTGACATCGGTGTTTTTACCCACCACAGTCAAGCCAGCCGCCGCTTGTTAACCGCTTAAACGTTCGTGCGCTTCTACACCGAGTTTTAGGGTAGTATGTAACCTGTCGATCTGTTCCTGGATATCCTGAAAGCCGATGTCAAATCAGCTCCAGAAATGATCATATTATATTTCAGCTGTTTTCAAAACAAACGGTCTGTAGGTAAGTTTGTAGATTATTTTAGAATGCAGAAAACAGGTCATTTTAGCATTTGACCTGATTGTTTTTGTTGAGTTAGCAGCATGATCCCTGAATACATGTACAAGAGTAACATAATATTTTTTAATATTATAGTTCATACAGCACACACATGTTACTGAAAGGTTACAAGTCTGTTGATTGTTCAGTCATTGACTAATCATTCACCATACTGAAGTTCTTAACAACTGATTTGTTAAGAAGTCAGTCCACCGTTTGCTCCAGTCTTTCCAGATTGCTTCACACTGATGGTCCCTTTAAAGTCGAGCATTGTGCAAGAATGAACTTTGCATGCCCTGGACTTTCAAACTATAGTCGGGTTCCTGATAAGTGGATACAAACATCTCAAAACGGTGAACTGTAATTGTCGCTTAACAGTAAAACTGGGTTGCAGTGTTTGTGAATGCAGCTTTATTGAAACTGTAAATGATGTCTGACAGAGGGCGCTCGAATAGAAGGTGTGAGAAGTTATTATAGAATATTACTGCTTACCTGTACTAAAAGAATGGAGCCAGTAGTGTATTTCGCTCTCAGATTGCTGCTTTACTTGAGGTTCATAGGATATTTAAAAGTAGAAGGCAACACTGGTTGGTGATGGAGATTGTTGGTCAAACCTAGAAACTGTATGTGTGTTACAGAGCTTTTTCTGCCTTTTCTTTTATTCTTGCAGAGGATGTTGTGCTTATTTTACCACTAGTTGACCTTTTAATGGTGGAAGGCTTACCAGCCACACTTGAAACACTGTCCTCTGGATTAACACCATCATCAACACCAATATTTTAAATGCAAATGTTCGCAACCAGATAACCATTCACTCACTTCATAAATAAACTCATCATAACACATTGTTTTTGCTTTAAACCATGTTTCATGCTTTTCATTTTCATCATCTGGTAACACACAGATCAAAGAACCATGACTAGTTTTTGCTTCATTACACAAAGCAACAGAATCATTAGTTGATGCTTGAACCATATAGATATAGATGCTATTATCTATATCTAGTGATGTACTTACAATATAGATATTATTTTCATATACTCTCTTGTAGATGATTAGCTTTATTTAATTTAGCTTTTCTATCACATTGCAGTTTGTCCAGTTTCTCTGCAAGTGCTTTAGCAGTTATTTTCTGTGGGTCGCTTGGCTCGATAGTTCAAACGTTTGAATTTGGATATGGTAAGGATTTGTAGAAGAACAGGATGTGCCTTTGGTTTTTGGTTAAACATTTGCAACTCTGGTATAGATAAATGTGATATATTAACCTTGACACACTCCAATCCTTGCTATCCAAAAAGACTGTGTGGGGGGAAAAAATACAAATGAAATTTTCCCTTTAACGTTTTGTTTTAATGTTCAGTTTCATGCAATTTTAATTTCTCTTACCAAAACCATGATAATTTCATTTTCTATTCTAGATTTTCTAGTGCTGTCAGCGTTAGTCTCGTTAAAATCACGTTAACGCCATAACCGCATTAACTCGGCAAATCTCCGTTAGCGAGTTAATGCGGGTCGCCCGCTGCATGGGGCTGCATGGCGTCAACGCATTACCGCAATTAGCTCGGCCCAATAGATTTCATCTCATGATCTTACGTGATGTTACTAAATTACCAAGCCTTAAACTTGTAAATTTTAGATGGATGGATTTAAATTAAAGGGTTTTTTATGTTTAATACAATTATTCCCTGGATTAGACAGTTTAATTCCTCTTTCTAGCTGTTTCAAAGCATGAACAACTACTTAAATGTTCAAGTTTCCACTTCATGTTAATGCTTAAATATTCTTTTACTCTCATTAAACCTAAATACATTCCTATAGAATGACAAGATCAGGAGAGATGACTGAAACCAAGGACATGAATGTACAGACAAAAGGAATCAAAAAAGGAATCCCCTCTCTCATGATACGTGAACAAGACCCTGAGATACATAAACTCTTTCACCTGGGTCAGCAACTCATCCCTAACTCGGAGTGGGCGCTCCACTTTTTTCCAGCTGAGGAACATGGCCTCAGACTTGGGGGTGCTGATTCTCATAAAAATCCTCCCTAGGGGTCCTCCCACCAAAGACTGCCTCAGTGCCCAGACTCATATACCTCATCCCCAGACTCTATTTCCTCTACAGAAGAAGTGTTAGTGTGATTGAGGAGGTCCTTGACGTATAAACTGACAACGGTCTCTAGTCTTGTCAGCCGAGGATCTTTATGGTCATGGTCGGCCTCCAGATCTGCTCCGTCTTTCTTTGCCAGCCTCCTGGTCAGCCCTCTTAACTGCTGTGTCTCTGCCGCTAGCCTCCTGAACTCTCACTTCTTTGTTTTGGAAATTTTTTTTCTTAAATATGGTCCTTCTTTCCCTGTCAGTACTCTTACTGGAGCATTTTGGGTCACCTGAAGGTGTTTCAGGGAATTTTTACGACAGCCTGATAATAATGAATTACAGTAGTTCTGCCTAGAAGTAATAATGCATAAACTAGTTTTTCAACATCACTCTTAAACAGGATGTTTCTAATTTGAGAGATTTTG